TAAAAAGAGTCTTCTAAAGGGCCAAACTAGCACAGAGAGACTATGTTGTTCATTCCAGTTTATCAAACTAGTATATTCGATGTTAAGAAACCAACAAAAAAATGAAAAGCAGGGAAGCCTGTTTTCCTTTTCAAATCTATGAATAAAATAGCGGAGAGAGAATGAGATCTACTAGCTCAATATTTAAGGACACAATAAGAAACTGTCAGTTCATTTCACCACATACAAGAATACTAAATAAAGAGCACATTACAAAATAACTTTATCAAAACGTGTTTTTGTTTTTTTTTTACATTTAAGGGAATTTTAACTAATCAACTTCTAATTCTTTTATTTTTGTGCATTTTAATTTAAATTCCAATTTTCATCCAAAGAGCGAATGACTCAAATCACAAGTTAAAAGGTTAATGCTGTAGTACAGTATAAAAAAAAAGTGCATTATTCACTGACTTCTATTTCAAAAAGGGTCAAACTAAGAACCCCTATAAATCGTTAGACAAAGTAACACAACTGCTTAACTAAATGTGTTAAAATATAATGTATTCCCTCAGTCAGCAGAAGAGTGACCAATTTAGTGTTAAGGCTCTATTCAGTCACTGATTTTTATGTTTTAATGATCACCAGTCAATGATAAACCAACGTCTCTCTAGAAAATTATTAAAATACATCCAATGACAGCACGCAATTAAAGTTACTTAAAAACGAGGTTTCCTAATTAGTAAAATGAGCATATTCTAGATATCAGTGAAGTAGTTTATCCTGATGTTAACTTCTCAGTAAGAGATTTTTTTTTAAAGAATTCACCCAATATAGAGACAAATTTATTGGGAAAAAAAGTCCATTTATGGTATTCTATTGTAAGGAGTCTTTGGGTGTTAATGTGTGCTTGTTTCACCTGTCTATTATTAGTGTTTCATTTGCATAGGCTAACAGATACCAGTGTATGAATGCCCAGAAATATAAAACAGAACTGAGCTTAATTAATTTGTGGTCATTTAGTATTATCCATCCAGCACCTTCTGTCACATTCACAAGGCAATTAGGTGGACTTTTATTACAACAGGCAATGGAAATCAACACACTCACCGATTTTACTGTTGCGATAACGCCACCCTCCTGAACACTTGAACAGTTGTTGAAATGAAATCAATGATACAGGTTCTCATTTCTTACTCATTTATGCTTAGGGTTTCTCCAAAGGTCTACATAATTATGCAAATGAGACAATTAAGCAGGGTACAGTGACCAAACTTGAACTCAATTCTATTGTTTTTTGAAGACTGGATTCAGACCTCTGCTGATCTACAGGGCAGAACTGCACAAGTTCACAAATTTATTTTATTAGCACCATTAGATAAATTCATACAAACACCTAAACAGACACTTGGCTTGGCTAAACAACAGCTTACTCTGTTTTCACTCAAGGCAACTCCTAATCAACTTAAGCTTGGCATTGTTCAGCTTTGCTTTAAGCAGCGTCCGCGCAACCAACCGCTCATACCTGATGAAGAATGTCTTGCATTCAAAAGTTGTCTAATTTTGTTCCAACCATGTATAGTTGGTCCAATTAAAGGTATCGCTCCTAAAAAATCCTTACCTCTCACATAATTCCTGGACTATCAAGGCTACACCATCTCTCTAACACTACCACACAACCTTTACCATCAGCTTAATGAAACACGTTTAAAAGAGTCATATCTGGACAGATCAGTGCAACTGTACATCAGAAACCTTCACTCAAGTATATGTATAAAAAAGCCCTAGCACAACTGTAAAAACCTATTCATATTCAAAACACAAAAGTAGATACAAGCCTGTATCACTGTCAGTCTGTACATTACAAATCGGTAATCTATTTGTGAAAGCTGACACATCACTTAACTGTCCATTACAAACACATTTGTATATTTAATCTTATTAAAATCATATCTGTCTAGATATTTTTTAATGAAAAAATGCTACATAAGCCTAATAAATTGTGTACAACTGCTCTAGGAAACAGTTTCTTTACATTGTCCCTCCCATTACCGTACAAAGTAACTTCTAAAATTGAAATTACAAAGAAAAATGTAGCATTTTGGTTTCAAAATGGTTTCATAGAACTGGAAAGGACAGGTGGCTCTTTTAGCCTAGACCTCATATTTCAATTTCACTGGAGTTTTTAAAAGTTATAAATCCTTCAGCCCATTTATAACTGTACTGTTGACGCTCTTCACCATGACAGTGCAGCAATAATAAGGGGGTTGATGAGGCTCCTTCACCACGTTAAATAATAACTGAATAATATGCTAATTAGCTTTCCTCCAGTGAACTGTCTGCATTCCCTTCTGATTTCCTCTAGCTACAAATATGATAATCAGGAGAACAAAGACTTTGGTACAGCCACCTATAAACCAGTAAAACAGATGAAGTCAAAGTGATCCCGTAATATTCAGAAGGAGATGCCTCCTGGTTCACTTTGAATACTGCAAGCCCAAATAAGCTTATTTAAAAAAAAAAAAAAAGAGGATGTTGGTCAATGCACATTTCTATGCAGAGTCACTCTTCTGAGCCCAACAGGGCTGAGCACGTTGAGCAGAACAGTTATTCTCAGACTAACCAATTTACCTTTAATTCCAACTTCCTCCTAAAAATCTCTTTTGACAGCCACTTCTGGCAATCCATCCATCCCTTTTATCCCAGTTTCTTTTTATAAATCTAGGCTCAGGTTTCCTTCCCCATCTCATGTGATGTGCTGGCCTGGAGCTCTGTCAATGTGGTGGATGCAGTCAGCTGCCAAATCCCACGCCACAGCATGCCATGCAGTGCCAGATCTGCCCACCCTTCAAGTCTTTTTATACCTTTCAGGCTGCATCTTGCCTTCAACTGCACCAAAGAAACAGACCTCCCCAGCCAGGCTAGCCTGCTCTTAGCAACACTGCTATAGTGGGAGGTGGGAGGGAGACAAAACTCACAAAGCAGGTCTAGACTTCCTGGCTCCGGAGTGTTGCCCCCATCAAGATGGGAGAATTTGAAATGCAACCACTCTAAACTCTCAGACCAGTTAATCACATAATATATGTAACATGCAGCAGGGGCCTTACTTTGCACATGTGGCTGATCTAGACTTATTTGTGATTCAGCCATCAGCTGCACCATACATTCAAATCTACCGTGCAGCAGGAGCCCACAAGACAGGCAGAGTTTAGGAGGTTCAATTACTCAGAGCTCTCAGAGACCCAAGCTACAGATTACATATGCAATGCCATTCACAGGCAAATCACACAACGCATGCAGGCCAGCCACACGCCCCAAGTAATGATCGTATGTCATAAAAATGGCTATTAAGCTACAGAAAGAGAGCCAACCAGTTATAAAGGTAGAGCTTGAAACTGTGCAACAACTCTAGAGCTGGTTTCTACCCAAACTTCATGCAAACATGTAGCAGGGCCCGTAGAGCTGTTACACCTTCATAGCCGATTGGCTCTTTTTATCGCCAGACACTCATTTTTATCATGTGTAATCATTACTTGGCATGTGTGGCTGGTCAAAATTCACCTGCCAATTACATCATTAACATAACGTGTTGCGGGGCCTATCACAGCTAGTTTCTAGCCAGCTTTCACCTGAACCTGTAGCAGGGCCATGAGAAGGACCACGGGCCAGGTGGGCAGGCAAGGGGGCACAGGACTGGGGGAGCTCACACTTGGCGAGAAGCCGGGCACCTTTTCAAGCTGCTGCTGCATAACACAGGAGATTGGGCAGAACTATGGTCCGACCCAGGACATACGGCAGTGCTTATGAGCTGCAACTGGATCCCTTGGCTCCTTCAGGCCAGGCTGCCCATCCCCAGCCCCTGACCCCCACAACTGTGCTGCACCTGATGCCCCATGATCCCCACCCCCAAGCTCCAGTGCACCCTATACCCCATGATTCCCCCCCCGGTTGTGCTGCTCCCCAGTCCTCAAGGAACAATGCCCCATAATCGCCCCCAGCCTGCTGCACCCCAGTCCTCAAGGCACCTAATACCCTGCGATTATCACCCCCAGCTCTGCTGCACCCCAGTCCTCAAGGCACCTGATAACCCATGATCCCACAGCTGTACTGCACCCCAGTCCTTGAAGCCCCTTTTAACCCATAACCCCTCCCCAAGGCACCCCACAGCCCATGACCCCACCAGCCCTGCTGCACCCATCCTTGAGGCACCTGATAAGCCATGATTCTCCCAACCCTGCTGCACCCCAGCCCTTGAGGCCCCTTTTAACCCATGATCCCCACCACCTCTGCTGCACCCCAGTCCTTGAGGTGCCTTTTAACCCATGATCCTCCACAAAACACCCCATAGCCCATGATCCCCCCAGTCCTGCTGCACCCCAGTCCTCAAGGTACCTGATAGCCCATGATCCCAGTTCTGCTGCATGCCAGCCCTTGAGGCCACTTGTAACCCATGATCCCCCCCAGCTCTGCTGCACCCGTCCTTGAGTCACCCCCATCATCCCCCCGGGGGCACCGCATAGCCCATGATCCCCCCCCAGCCCTGCTGCATCCCTGTCCTCGAGGCACCCGATAGCCCATGAACCCCCCAACTCTGCTGCACCCCACTCCTCAAGGCACCCTGTACCCCATGACTCCCCAGCCCTGTTGCAGCCCAGTACTTGAGGCACCCCATCATCCCAACTCTGCTGCTGCACCCCAATCTTTTGAGGCCCTTCAGCCATGACACCCTGAGGTACCCCAAACCCCATGATCCCCCCAATCCTGCTGCACCTGTCCCCAAGGCCTCTTTTAAGCCACACACCCCCAATTTTGCTGCACCCCAGTCTGAGGCATCTGATACCCCATGAGCCCCCCCAACCCTGCTGCACCCCAGCCCTTGAGGCCCATTTTAAGCCACGATCCCCCACGCGGCCCTGCTGCACCCCAGTCCTCGAGACCCCCCGTGATTTCCAACCCCCCGAGGTACCCCACAGCCCACAACCCCCCGGCCCTGCTGCACCGCAGCCCCGAGGCCCCGCGCCCACCTCCTCCTCGCTCTCGCTGCGGAAGCAGAGGCAGGCCGCGCGCTTCTTGTAGCCGTCCCCGTCGTAGGTGCGAGTCTGGTTGGACTTGAGCTTCATCATCCTCCGCTCGGGGGGCGGCGGCGGCAGCGGCTGCAGCGGCGGGGCG